TGCTACAAATCTTGAAGATAAGGTTAGATTCATCTTTGCAGTCAATAGTGTGGCTGGACATCTTGATTACTCTGGTGATAGGGTCTGCAAACACACTAGTAGATGAGTTCACTATCTTGATAGGGATGTTTGTGTGGCACACATCAGAGGGGGCCAACTGTACCTCTACCTCCCTGCATCTCTTGAGTACAACACTTTCTCCTGCAACTATCAGGATCCAACCCAAAGATCCCGTTAAAGCATGGGCAGCAGCAGTTGGATGTTTAATTGCTAGTTGCATTGTGTTTTGTCTGACCATATACTCTAGTATACATTGATTTTCCATAATGGTTCTTCCTGTACTTTATATACTAGACTGCACCATAAGATTGAGTACTAGTAGACCAGATGATATCACACTACTAAGTCTCCCATCAAAGTTATTGTCCAACCATGGTATATCTATAGCAGTAGAATTCACTATGAAGTCACTCTTATCTTCGGTCTGAAGTACCTTTAAACCACACACAGTTATCTAAGAGGTTAGCTTGAATCCACTGCTCAGTTCTCTTACTGCTAAATACCGATCAGCTTTCTGATTGAACAGCATCTCCCTACTCCCCTGGTATAGAATAGACCAGCTGCAGGTGTGTGTGACAGGAATGTTGCTCAAGGCCAGTATTCCACTAGCTGTCTTGGAAGAGCCTCTTCCGGCATTCCACTCCAATATTTCACCATCTATCTACCTCACTGCTGGGTTAACCTTAAGATCAGGGAACTCCACTACTGTGGACCATAGTAGGTCCAGATACCCCTTCACCACCTTGGTTATCTCCTTGGATGTCTTGCGGAATCCCTCTGCATCTAAATCAGCTCCTATCAGTATCTTAGTGACTCCGGGTACCTTCACGGGTATCTTGAGCCACATTTACTGAAAGACACCCTTGTTCCAGGCATCTAGACTATCTTGCTCACTGATCTGGTGATTGACCAGGAAGATATCATCTGAATTCAGTTCTAACTGAGTAGGGTTCCTATAATAAGTGCAGTACATCATCCTAGAGAGGAGCCTAAGTGAGCATGTTCTGTGCTCTTTCCTTATCTCCTTAGGTAACTGGAGAATGGTACCTTCCCAGGGGGAGGACTGGTAGTCTCCATAATTGGTGCTCTTGCACTTTACATCTGTCTTAATAGAGTATCGATGTGATATCCTTGGCTTAGTGCAATCATATGCTATCATCGATAGACAGCTAGTTAAGAGAGTAGCCAATAGATATAGAGACAACTGCAGGATGTTTTCTTTATATCTTTGATTACACTATTTGATTGTTGCTTAACTCTAGACATTTGCTGAGTAGGACTGACTGATAGTCTCTTACTGTATCAGGTTTACAAAACACCATCCAAAGTCTAGCCTTTAGGATCATGATTACAAAACTTATGAAGCACAAGATGCGTAAGACACCACAAAAGATTGATAACCACAAGAGCCATCTCACTAGCCCAGAATCCATAACAGTATTAATGAGATTCCCTATTACTCCCGCTACAATTGAGACGACGTACATTATATATTTATTCACAACGAACTAAAATTAAAATTATAATTAGAAAATGAACATGAAAGAAATACCGAATTATAAAAATTCGCATGCGACCGACTAACCCCCATTATAATAGCGAGCGACAAATACCCCGTTAAATTTAATCAATAAATTAACCGACAGAATTAGAAACCTCTGACGAAACTCGCTGGTGACGTCACGACCAATAAGCGAATTAGAATAAAATTTGATTTCCGTCTGGATAGAAAAATAGATAAGAGTAGGGGTAGATCTTTCCCATCAATTAATGATAGCTATCTTAGTGGGGGGTGAGAGAGGGTAAATAACGACGAAGGTAGCTATTGCGAGTGTTAGGATCAGACGAAAGAGAAATAGTCATTAATTAATTCGCGCTAACCTTTCGCCAAAATAGTAATTTATTGCGAATATTGGGAGTAGATGAATTAAAACTCGTAATTTAAAGTATTCGCGCTAACTTTTGGCCAAAATAGTAATTTATTGCGAATATTGGAAGTGGACGAATTGAAACCCGTGAATTAATTATTTGCGCTGACTCTTCCGCCATTTTCGTCAATTAAAGACCGACCGGAAGAATATTAGTTTCGACTATTTCGTAGTCTCATAATTATACAGAATCATACTGACCTTAATTAATCCGACCACCTGCTTATGCATTATAAAATAAGCCAATAAAAGTGATCAATTGTTCTTTACATAAATTTTACTTTTGTCACCCTGCCTTATTTGCATGCTGATTATTTTCAGCCGCGAGCGGTTATATTCGGGTAACGCTGATTCGTTATATTTTCGGGTCCCACGATAGGTAACATACGCGCGAATTCGAACGGACTTTCGACCTGAAATCTGAGCTGCCGGCATATCATAAGCGAGGAGACAAAGGGGAAACGAATTGTTGGACACCGAGGCCTGGAGAAGAGGAGATCGCGAGTACTCGCCTGTTTGCCCATCCGGTGCAGTCGCCGTGAAAGCAAATCGGGATACGCGACGACCGATAGGCCCTACCCCCGACGATCGCCTTAATTAGACGGCGGTCTGGCGCCCTAAAAATCCGGGAGTAATGAGCCGGCCAGGCCTTGTGGCGGAAGAAATTCGGTAACGCGGTTAAAACCCCCGAAATTTCCCAATTTCTGTAATGTGGTTCGCCGTAAATGTAATTACCAAGAGAAACTGATTATTTATAAAAAAATCTGCTTATTTATTATTATCGTATATTTAAATGTGATCATACTTTATGATATGATAAATAATATTTTTATTGTTAATTTATTTAAATTAACATTGGTTTTGTAACAGACACGATCGGCGCACAATGCACTGCGCAATGTCCAAGTGCGCATGACCAGCATCATTACAATAAGGCTCCAGGAGGGTATGTTATTGGAATTGGGTTGTGTTTTCTGGGATGCCCGCCACGTGCACCGGTTTTTAACTACCGTCTGTCACGACATCATTAAGAAATCTAATCGCGCACTAAATTCAATAACAGTGAGGATACTTTCCTTGCATAAATTTGAAAAATTCAGAACATCATTACGAATTGTATAATAAGTAATGTGGTATAAATTAAATTTTAAGAAATTGTGTTAAGATATAACTAAATTTATGTTAAATAAGTGGAAAGCAAAGCGATGCGACGCAAGACCTGGAATACGACTGAACTGAGTTACTTAATTGAAACTCACCAGAAACACAGTATAAAAGACCAAGTAATCAATGATATCGCATACTGCAAATCGTCATACTTTGTGTTAACGACGTACTCAGTCTTTGCAAATAAATACTTTGTCGTAAATTAATTCTTACACGTTTAAGCAGTAATTTTAATGCTGTTTTCCAAAAAATAAATATAGTGAATCAAGAAACAACCTAGGAAAGCTTCAAGATTCATATAATGCGTATTAAATGACTTATGCTGTAGGTTACTGTACTGAACATTCAGAAACTTCCTCTACTTATTTCTGAAAAAAGAAAAGCATTTCAATGAGCTTTCATAGTTGGGATATATATATATATATATGGCAAGTATCCTATGCTACCCGTGAACACAAATTATCTATGTAAACAAAAAATGTTGTTTACAAGACATTACAGTTATAAGTTGACTACGCTATTTCAATAAATATTCCAAGCATTGATAGATTATTAGAAAAAAGATATTATATTTATATGATATTTTTTTCGATATTTCCAAATGACAACAAATATAAATTACGATAAATGTATGTGTAAATAAATGAATAGTACAATTAAAATGAAATTGTTTTATTTAACTTATACACATAATGTTTGTAACCACGAAAACTGAAATTACACCAATGGATTTAGTAATAGTTGTAACTATAAATGATTAAATATTTGAAAAATGTATTAGTATAGTTGACATAAATTTAAAATGAATTGATTGATTTAATATCATACAAACCTCAAAATAAAAACTGACTGATACCTCAAGAGGGAAATTAATTAAACTTTGGTCTATGCAAAAGTTTAGGGTCAAATAAACAAAAAAGGCAATAAAAGATCAATAGATTATCACTATAAAATATTGTACAATGATTATTAACTAAAAAATTAATTTTATTAAGTTACGTAAAATATTGGAAAATGGTTTGGAAATACACTAATTATTACAACCATGAACGTCTACTAAAGTATATTAAGTACATGTTATTTACATCATAAAAAATTATAATGTTTTTAGAACTTATATTACATTTTTTAACTTATTTTTCAAACTTTGACACGAAAATTTTTCAACACAAAACATCAGATGATTAAAGCTTAATACTTTATTTATAACATTTTTTAATCATGAGTATCTATGTAACTCCGTATTTATTAACTAATAAATAATATTATCGGTTATATCTCATATCAAATCAAAGGAATATTTATATCTATATTAATTTTTAGAATTTTCAATTTCGACAATAAAAGCTCTAATCTATACTTGTGCATTAAAATGAATGCGAAAAAAAAATGAGCGGCAAAGCGCGCTAGATATGACTAGTATTTAAAAAGCTAGGATTTTAAATTGAATTATTGTATAATTTATCATAACTCATGTTTTATATAAATAGAACTTATAACTTTTTCTTTATATGTTACAACACGTATTTATATTTATGTATTTTTGTCATGCTCATTAGTTCCATACTTGTAAAATCCAAGATTTAAATATATAATACAAGTTAATATGTGCATTCTAAATATTGATAGTCCTGTCGGTTTCACTAGTCGTATAAATCCACCTACGGGATAAATAAGGTTTCAAATAGGCTTTCAACAAACTAAATAAATTCCAAATGACACTCAAGTACATCAGTCGATCAGATTTAATCTTGTTTAGCAGGTCGCCTATAAGCTTTTATATAAGGTATATAATGTATAAGCCTACTATAATACTATAAGACAGAAATTAATATACTTCTGAAAGTCAAGGTGATAATCACAGACAAATTTACCTCATTCTTGTACCATTTACGTGGTAGTGCTTTAGTAGGTCTGGTATTCACTTAATGAATAGTTTATTTTTATTTTCAACTGTGAAAGAGATATATATCCACGCTATTGGTGACAAGATTGATCAAGGTTCTTCTAATTTAAAAATATCACAAACGGTTCGTGAAATTCATGAATATTAAATCATATTATCTACATCATGTTACTAATAATCAATAACTATTCCATTTAGGAATGAAATTATAATCTCAAATTTACCTTGTATAATAGTTTATTGTGCGTACCCAAAATGCTAATTACGACAGATTTAAGTTTTCATTGCTATGAGTGTGCTGACGGTAAGTGCGAAATACCAGACGAAAAATTGTCAGTTTGCAAGACTATAATTGGCGTAAGTAAAAGCTTTCAATTACTTCATCTGCGAATTAACCCTTTATGTCTTAAGTTTGCAAATATATAGCAAATGTTTTCGGAATTTTAGTGCTTCAAATCCTCCGTTAAAGAACTCGGGGGCATCGGACAATCTTCTCGCGGATGCATCTTAACACCAGAGCAAGATCGAGATATTTGTAGCAATGTATTACAGGCGAAAGGCATCGGTTATCGTTATAAGTGCTGTGAAGAAGAATTATGCAACAGCAGTGATTTTCTAGTACCAGACAATTCTGAAAATTGTAAGTAACGCTTTATTTTATATTGAATAAATACTTAGGAACTTCCTACATAAAAGCCATCGGACACCGGATGTTGCACAAATACTAAGGTAAAAAACAAATTATTTGTTTGTCATTATCTTACCAAAGATTTAGGCGTGGTCTGAAAAGACCATGTTCAACACATATTTTTATTTTACAAATTAATGTCAAATAATTAATTCATTTTTACACCTTTGTGCACGTCTGATATTCGATGTTCGATATCCAATGGCTCTTATGTAGAGAGTCGCTTAATAAATATGATAACTGATAATAAATAATTGAATAATTTTTGTTTGATAAATGATTGATACAGATGGGGATATAGCTTCTTACTATCTGGCAATAATAATCTTGGGAACAATAGTAATCATCATGGGCATGGGTATCGCAATAGCCACAATTTACTATTACAAATGTAGAGACAGACCCTTGTTAAACAGAGTTACAGTGCAACAAAGACAACCGGAAGTGATATCATTAGATGTAATCGCAAATGCAAAAAACGGCACTGCCACACCGATCTAGAGACTAAAATCGCTTGTCACTTATAGCACTGATCAGGTAATTATAAAAAGTACCAAGTCTTTTACAAACGATAATATAATTCGTTTGTCAACATGAGAACTCTTATTTTTATTTGTGATTAATTGATATACGATTTTTTATAGAAACGCTTCAATGATTATAGTTTATGGAACGGTTTGGGCTCAGGTAATCAAAGCACGTACCTTTACAAAGCATACATCATTCGTTATTCGTCACTTTTATCAATCTGATGAACCAACTGTAAGCTTTCGGCTTTCATGATCAAATTTGGAACTTAAATATTTTCCAACAAACTGACGTAACTTGAGCCTAATATTCTGGAAGATATGTCGCAACAGAGATTAAAAGGATTGTATTATTTTTAATATCCGATCCCATATACATCAAAGGCCGCAGGATATGACTGTCGTTCAAGTGGTTAGCCAATGACGAACAAGAACTGACAATTACCAAAAAGATACGAAAATTGATTACTGATAAATAATTGAACGCAATAGAGCATTGGCCAATTCGACAAGTTAAGAAGCGACGCTTTAGACGCTTGCAAAAAATGAATTATTTAATCTATTTTGACGATAATTTCATTGTTAAATAACTCTTACGATGTGTAGTTTCTAAATAAAGTAAACAGTGTGATCAAAACAATAATTTTGATTATCGTACTAATAATACAAATGATAAGAAACAGAAAATAAATGTAGTAACTCATTATTTTATCTAACTTTCAAATCTATCTATTTATATAAATCTATATCATCTGCTTATTTTCTTATGCCACATTTTAGCTAATAATTGTAATACTAAATTTAATGAAAATCTGAACATTTTTATGGCTGAGAGAGTTAAAAAAACTAGTTTAGAAATCCATTAATTGTAAAAATTTGACAATGTTTAAAATGATTAATGTTTTTTTCTTCAAATTATTTAGACAATATTTTTCGTTATACCATTTGTTAAATGAAATTGGTAGAAATTACAGCTTGATTTTATGAAATAGCATTTAATGTATTTTTTTTACCACATTAAAATAAAAATCTAATCTAGCAATTCAATTTTTTTTATTAAACAGACGAAGTCTCAAACTATTTTAGACTTATTTGTAACTATATAAAATGTAATATAAAATGTTTAAGGATCATAAATTATTAAAAATAAAGCAGAATAATATCAATAGTTGAACACTTCATCTTGATAAAAGTCTTGATAATTTTGTTTTAGAAAAAAACATCATACTACATTTTCATCTTTAATTTTTTGTACATGTCTGAATGCTTCTTTCATGACTTCATTTACTGTATTACACTAAACTTCTTCAATCTTTTCTACGAGTTTTTTGAGCTCCTCGTTGTTAATATTTTGTGTTTCTTGCTCAGATTCAGATTCATCAGAGTTTTCTTCTTTTCTAGCCATTTGATTAAATTTAAAAGCTCTACGAATCTCATCTGATGTCTTGCCTTTAATTACATTAGCTATAGCCTTGGAACTAATATCGATTAGACCCTTTATTTCAAGATAGTTTGCAGCAAGAAGTAGTTCAAATAATGTTTCCTTATTGACCTGTACAAAAGTAACAAATTATAGTTTGTACTGTAAATTAATGAAAGTTGTATAAATTATCTGGTATTATCACATTATTGTGATTCGTATTATATATATATGATCCATTTCATTTATCACATTTTTAAGTACTTTCTAAAAATAAATGTTATCAAAATGTTGATAAAAGTGTTAGAACTTATTGTAATCATTAATTAAAAACAATGGTTACAAAATGTTGTGTATTCATAAAATAAAACTTACCGACAAGTATTTCTTGTCCCATTGATTTGTGATATCAGTCCTCTTTTCTAAATTTCCTACCTCATTTAATGATGGATCATTTTTATGATAAGTCATCCATTCTGTAATCTTTTTTAAAATAGGGCCATTAATATTAGGTAAAGGAATTACTTCATTTTCATCTTCTTCGGTTGAACACATACTATCCAGCATAGTCTTGATAGTGATTGACTGTTCAGCTGCTTTGCGTTCAACTTTGAAGATTTGTTTATCGGAACTTTCAAGATTGATCATAGACATCTGACGATGAAAAATTTTATTTATTAATGACATAACATCTATACAAATATTTTTACAAAGCAAAAGAATATTTTCCACATTTCTGTTTGTAAATTATTTATAACAAAACCAAATTAAAGTTTTAAATAATTAAAGAAATATGTAGTCATCACTCACAAACAAAATGCATAGCAATAATGACATAGATATATGTTTAAATAATTATTATCTTTGATAGGACAGGCTAACTACAGTAACGAAGTAATTTTTGGCTTTGGGTAATTGAATTTTATATTTTATGGTTATGTTTTAGCACACTGAAATTGCAAAGTCAGGTGATTATAAGAAATTTATAAATAATATACATAATAACTAATATATAACAGTAGAGCGCACAAAAAATATGTATAAGGCATGTGACCTTGATATTTTTTAATATATATTTTTTGTAAATTAGAAATTAAAAAATAAAAATTTACAATTCCAAGTTCCAACTGGACATTAAAAGCGTCTTAGTAGATATTTTGGAATAAGAGTATGTCGGAAACTTACTTTGTAGAGAATGATGACAATTGTAGAATCGGTAAATAGCAATAATTTGATGCTTTTTGTAGCACACAAAGTAAAAGTATAATACCTAATTAATATACTACCTAGTATATACTACTGAGAGAACAAATTATCTTCTTTTGTTGTACAAACCGTCCTGCAGCCTTGTGCCAAAACCAAGATCTGGACAACTCAACTGCCTGTGCGTGATCAGTGTTGGGTTCGAGAAATTTCCCGAACTAAAACGCTAAGTTCAGAGCTCAGGAAAAATAAGTCGATCGGAGTAGCACCAATCACGTCGTTTCATTTTACGAGCGCTGATTTACTCTATTCCGTTGTTTCTTTTCAATTGAATTTTCAGAGAATGAATTTGATTTTTCGACATTCCGTGCGCAAAGTGTGTCTTTCCCGCATGCTCGGCAGAAAACGTGCGTTGAAAATCGCACTTTCCACACATCGTATCAAAAACTATGGTACGGTATATGTTCGGCAAAGAGTTTCTCGTTTCGTGTACCTTTCCACCCTCGCTTCGCTAGGGCGTAAACACCACACGAGACAAGAATCTACTTTCCCGCACTTGTATCGTAATGTACTATTTAGCAACTAAATCTATTGATGCGTGCAGAAAGCACGTACTTTCCGCACACTCGACCAAAAACGAGCATTCCACGCATCGTATCGAAATAGTACATTATGATACAAGAGCGAAAAAGTAGATTGTTGTCTCATGCAGTGTTTACGCCCGAGCGAAGCGAGGGTGGAAAGGTACATGAGACGAGAAACTTTTTCCTGAACATATATGTGTCGTACCGTATTTTTTGATACGACGTGTGGAAAGTGCGATTTTCAACGCACATTTTCTGCCGTGCGTGCAAGAAAGACACACTTTGTGCATGGAATGTCAAAAAATAAGGTACGACACATGTTCGGGAAAGAGTATTTCTCGTCTCGTGTATCTTTCTACCTTAGCTTCGCTCGGGCTTAAACGCCACACGAGACAACAGTCTACTTTTACACACTTGTATCGTAATGTACTATTATTATCTATTACACTTTCTAGTTCCCGTACACAGTTGAGAATAATAAATACAAAAGATGATCAGAAATAAATACGCTAATTAAGTATAAATTTTCACATTGAAATCCAATTAAGTTAGTCGATCACTTATGAAGTGAGTTCTTAATCTATAAATGAAGAAAGATAAAATCAATGAATTATTTAGCATAAAAATTTAACGTAACGTTTTGTAATTACTATTAGAAATATAATCAAAATTTCTGTTGATTATTTGAACAGCAAGGGCCTGATAACAATTTAGTCTAATAACCTAATAACTCACTGTAGGAATTCTGAAATAACTTTACTCCGATCAATTGCCTTTTCCAAATCCTTGGATTAGAAAATTGAACAATATTATTAACAAGAACGTCTGGAATTAATGTATATAAATAAGAGAGATTGATGTTTCAATTCACGTACTTCATTCGATGTCTGTTGTAGAAGATAGAACATGTGTTAGTCATAGTTAATAAATACAGGAGTCCGTGATAAGAGTGGATAAAAAAAGAGTGTTAAATTACATTTTCGTTTTTCCACAATCGTCAATATTAATTGGTAATACTTTCTTCTTGTAAGTATATAAATATTCTGTATACTTTCAACATTTTTTTCAAAGCTTGATGACCAACTTTGTACAATACAAGTAAAAAAAGGCTTTTTATTTTAACGGAAGCGTGGGTCATGAAAGCATAAATCACATAAAAATGATATTATTATCACTGATGCTGGAACAACGGTGATGAGCATTTCTACGGTAAAAAATACAAGTAGCCGATATTTAATTCTGTGATTTGCTGAAACAATGCTGATATACGTTTGTCATATCCTTCGAATTATCTACCAAATTCTGTGCAATTTTTTTGCAATATTTCAGTGGGTTGAAATTTAAATCGAATGACTTTTATATCCAACAGCAAGCATTATATCTAATCAATATACACTTTTCTCTGAAAAATTCAAACTTCCATTTTTTACGCGTATTAAATTTGCGATTGACTTGATTAATTTATTATTCAAATATGCTTTGAACCTGGTGAAATACGTTTGTAAACATGAACTTTTTTCTGTAGAATTTCCTAATGGATCTACGTGAGTCCACGTTTCATTAACAGTATGAATAATAAATACCGTCCAATGTTCTGGACTTTCAACAGGCATTAATATTTTTCCATAAAAATCTTGATGTAGGTGATACATGACCCAATTTGATATTTTGGTAACTTAATTAACAAAAGTTTAATTTGTTGAGTAGGAATAAAAATTATATTTTACCAATATTTTTCATGAACAGCAGCTATAGCATCAATAATATCACCATCGAGAAATCGTCAACCAGCATTAGATAAAGTTCGGAATTCTCGTGAAAATAATAGAAATTCGTGATTTGGTGTAAATATCGTTGGTTATTCTCTTTCATTCGCTTTATTAATAAAGAATGTTCGTCGATCTCTAATGGGATGATTTGAAGCTCCGTTATATCTTTCAACAGTAAATATATCAACATTTACCATGCAATAATCAAAATTTGACATAAGATAGTTCGGCAGTATTTTCATCGGCTTAGGTAATATATTACTATCACTTTCTATGAAAAACTGTTACTTTCATTGTTAGAACGTTCTTTTAATTATTCATGAATTGATTCTTCGAATTTTCTGGTACGACTGTTGAAATTTTACTTGATGTTACATTGTCTTCAGCTTTGTTTCCTGATTTTAGGCTAATACGTCTGTGACCTAATGTCTGCAAGTACTTATCTGCGTAATAAAGTGTTGCTGTAAATTCTCCGTCACAATCTTTATACTTCTAGTGATTCTAGTGAAAGTTATATATGAATACTTGGGATTTTAATGCAATATTGATTCTTTCATATTGACACGTCATTTATTTATGTTTCGTCCAGAATTTACAAATATTTATTTTCCCTTTTAAATCTCGAGTATATCCGTAATTTGCTGGGAAAATTGGTATAGAGATAGCGAAGCTAGGTAGGACTATCGAAAGAAAAACCCCGTCGTGGTAGGTTACCCTTCATCACCCTTGGTCTAAATGTAATATGCCTAAAGCACCACTTACAGCGTCACACTTTACAAGTCGAGAGGGGAATGAACGGAATGTTTCGGTTCGAGTTAAAACTTCACTGATTTTTAATAGTATCGTTTGAGAGCGAGGAACCGCGTAGTTAGTCGTTTGCGTGAGAAAAACTGAAAGTCGCACGCAAACTGCTGTTTCGACAATATTTCAGCGTCCGATGTCTGACTTTCTTGGGACGTAATACCTCCCCTATTATTTAAAAAAGTGTGAAGCTTGTTAAAGAAGCTCCCACTTTTGAAGTGATGAATATTGCAATGTGCCACTTCAGACACTGAGATGCGTGTTTTTAATTAAGATAAAACAACTTAACAAATCTATTAGTCTCCTGTGTATTTATTAATGACCTAAGTCTGATAGCGTTAACCGTTTTATATCATCAAAAGGGGACACGTTGTATTCTTAGGTCCCTAGGTTACATTCTTTTAAATGCTGGTCCCAATCGGAGAGATATACAGCTTTTCCACAGAACCAATGAGTTTTTAGTACTTTTCTATTCTAATATTGAAAAATTATTTTGTGTACTTCCAGCTCTGTTTTGGTCACGTAATGTTTACAGGTACTATGGTAAATATATATGGACCTATTACGAAGCTTTACTGCTACTTGGTGAGGTGATGAATGTTTCGCCTTGTAACGTTTGTCCAGCTTCGACAATGCCGAGGTGACACTCTAACTATATATATACTTGATCACCGCCATAGGTCCATAAGAGCCTTGCCATATTTTTATGTAGTCTATCGGTCCAAACCGTGCGAAGTCATCATGGACTCGCTGCTCTGACCATGGTTTTCGTTGTTCGTCATGAGGCGGTATAAGGAAGTGTAAGCGTCAGTCAGCATCATTTTCCCTTGTATGGGCCGATGTAGTTGGTTGTGGCGTCAATTTAATCGGGTCTATTTTCTCCTCCTTTTCGTCCTCCGTAGAAGGGTCGTCTGCACTCTGACTCAGGCGTTATGTCGCGACTCCGTAGCCGTGACATGTATTTATTTAAATCAATGAATTTCAATTTTAAGACGGTATGATCGATACATATATATATATAATGGCAGGACTTACCTGAGTTGTTGATTGTCAAGCAATATTATTTCCAACTCTTACTTTGTTGCTGGATAATCTGGATCGTTCTTTATTAGAGGAATATTATTTCCGATTCTTATTCTCGTTGATGGATGTCTTCCTATTAATCCCAATGGAAGTGGTAACAATGAATTTTAAACACAATATTTAAGAGCACTAGTAAAATCCCACTTTATTTAATAAATAGAATTTACTCCGTGAGCGATAATTGAATTAATACAATGGAATTATAACAATGAATTTTAAACACAATATTTAAGAACACTAATAAAATCTTATTTTATTTGATAAATAGACAACGATCCCCTGTTTTGCGGGAAAGGAACGGCCTGGTTGTATATCTACTATAAAAAGTTTGGCTTGTTCGGTGGAAATGAGGCGGTATCCGCATAGATCAAATGAACTTTCAACGGCTAATCCGAATTGTATATTTCCGGTTGAGTTGGTGAAATACACATCTGGAGCATGCGTGATGTTATCAGACACTGTAGTGCTATATCCTTGATACAAAGTCTCATACATATTATAATCACACTAAGGTTCCGGGTTTATTTCCCAAAAAGCATAGTATTCCTCATTGGTGAAACAATGACCATCAGTATAAGTACATCGAGTACGAAGAGGAAGATATATTTCATTTTTCTCTGTTTTCGCACTCACGTAAAATACCTGAACTGTGATTGTAAGTTCTGAGTATTCGTGTGCAGTTTTGTACTCAATGCCATTTATTACTAAACGAACGCCTTAACATTTTCCCTCACTGAATAACGAGCCATGGCTGGTGACAGTTTCAATAATTGTTGCGTTTACTCTGATGTTTCTTATGATGGCTTCTTCAAGTTTGAACTCACCGTATCGTGCTATGTCGAAGCAATCATCTGATGAGACCCCTTTTTATGTAATTTTCAATGCCGCGTTCAACCTTAGAATTGTGTGAAAGCATGCCGCAGTGACACGCTGTAAGTTTAACTTGGATCTTACACTGTGTTATAAAGATCTTTTTGTATTTAATTAATTGTAATAGTTGGATGTATATAGATGTTTGCGTTGGCTTAATGTCTTCGAAATCACAAGACCCGATATCGACAAGAGAGACGGTCGTTATGTTAGGTTTATAGTCCCCACACCTATAGACGGTGAGTTTGACAGTGTGGTGGTGCTGATGACTGCGAGGAAGATAAATACCGAAAGGATTTCCATTTCGTATCGTTTCTTTGTATATTCTGTTTGAACTCTAGATGAAAAAGAAACGGTAAAGAAAGAAGAAAAAGATTAAGAAAATTAATACTTTTTTAAATTATGTGGCGTATTAATTAATACTTATTCCAATGAAAAGAAATGCAATGCAGCTAAAAAAATTTAGTTTTTTCATGCTCTGCCAAGTTAATTACTTACGTGATGCCTGGCGCATTTATTTTGCCTAAAATACCTCGGGAAATGCAAAATATACATTTCCGGTTATTGAAAAATGTGTTTTCATATTAATTGTGTCCTATTCCATCAACAAAATGCCTTAATTGCAGTGAAAAGTTTGGTTAATGAACGCCTTGTTCGTACTGCGAAGTTCAGAAACCTCTTGAAAATGAAAATATGCATTTCCTGTTTTTGATATAATAACTTTTGATCTAATTATTTCTCTATCAAAATGTAGGAAAATGAATATATACAACAATTGTGCAAAGTTTGAAAAATTTCGTCACTCAGTGTTCCTGAGCTAATTGAAATAGCTAAGAAATACCCGTATGTGTAATCGTACTGCATGTCATAATTTAATTTTTTTATCATGATAGATTAGTATCTATAAAAAAACTTACTTTTAAATACAATGACATTTAATTGATAGAAAAAAGTTTTAAATTCTTAAAAGGTAAAAATTCGCCAATTCATGGAAAATGGCGTAAAAACAGTTTTGCATTAGTGCGTATAACTTTTCAACAGATTAAAATTTTGTTCTTTCCTGACCCCGGAGCCGTCTCCGTCTGAGATTTTATATGCACACGCCATCTCTTTAACTTCGAGCTTGGTGGCAAGTTTCATAATGAATGCGAGATACGCATCTTTATCTATGAACTCGAAATTATAGAGATGGTGTGCGCATACAGAAACTTGGACCGGGACGGCCTCGGGGTCAGGAAGGAAGAGGGACCCTGTATAGACACTCCTTTAAGCGGGACGTTACATGTTAAGCATTAAATTTATCAATGAGTAGTACTTATTTTTCCTAATTAATTTTTATATAGTTTACTATTTTGAATATTTGTAAGTGCAGTATGATTCATACTAAATGAATGGTCTAATGTTAAGTCTAGGCATAAAAATTCTTTTTCTCTTTCTTTTTCTCCTTCAGTACATATTGGACTGCTGCAATTATGTGTTTTAAAGAGTCATAGAGTATTTCACCTTTTTAATTCAAATCATCTCTGCATAAAACTATTTACGTTCCAGGTAGCGAGTTTTAAACTGTTTGTAGTACCATTTTATTTACTAGTAAGGTTAATAGATTTAGAACAGTGCCATTCTTTGCATTAGTTGCTCCATCATACGCTCAAGTTTATTTTGATCGTTCTTGTGTGTACTTGGTTCTGACTGTGTATATGTTCGTTTTGATTCTTCTGTCTCACTCTATTCGTTTTGTTTTGTCGTTACTTGGGCGTATGTTTTGGTTGATCTGACTCTGTATTTATATTTAAATTTGTTTAAGCTTGACTGAAAGATTTTTTCTTGAATTGGGAAATAATTTTTGTTGCAGCTGTTTGAGGAATTGGACTTTCTTTGTAACTTGCAATATAGTTACCATGACAATTTTCTTATCTTATTTCTTTAATTTTTTTAGATTGGACACTCTTTAGTTACGTTTCGTTTTTCGCATTTCACACAGACTGCACTATTATAACCAATTTTTTGTATGTCTCTTTTTTGTATGTAACATTGGGTAGTCAATATTGAACAATTATAGTTAGAAGTTTGTTGACTGTATAGATATTTTAATTTTTATTATGATGTTCTATTTTAATGAAGCATAACGACAATTTTAATTATGTAATGCGATGTCAAATATTATCGATGCTGATTACTTTATGCTTGTGTTCCTCTATGGTATTTTTTAATTCATTAGAATCAACTAACGAGTGGATGGTTCCTAGTACGATTTTAAATTCTTTAAATCCTTTGCCTTCTTATCCTGATATGTATAGAATTTTACAATACAGTTATGTTAACTATGTTCACGTAACAGTTGAAGATTTGTTAATAATGTAAGTTGATCCGAATATTGTTAACAAAGAAAAATGCATTAACCTTGGAAATGGTTTATCTGATGAATGAGGGTTTTGAAAAAGGTTACTCTATTAGCAATATGTTAGTTTTAGTGTACGCCTGAAAAATGAAACTAGTTTAGCTGGATTTCTTTTATAATTTCTTTACACTATCTCTAATATTAGCAGAAGAATCCTAGGTTCTTCATGAAAGCCTCAAACGCACTATCCTTGTCTTTATTTATAATAATATTGCATGGCAGTTTATAAAGATATATTGATTGTTAAATACTCTTGTGAAATTTTAATAGCTTTCCAAGCAACCAGTACAATTTGATTTAATTTAATAGATTTCTTTTTCACTCATTTGAATTTTAAACTACTCTACTGCATTTTAACGCTATATATGACCTTCGATTATCGAACGTAAACGTCGATTAAGACTCGAGAGTCGAAATAAAGGCAAATAAAGGTAGGGATTGTGATTAAATTGTGAATGCGGAGAGCAAGAAGCTTGTTTGTTCCAGTCGAAGGCGCTAACCACTTTAGTGTTGAAGGCTCAAGGAAATCATAAGACATTTTACCGTAACTACTGACATCATCACGTGGATAGTACACTGACATTATTAACATTATTATTATATTTGCAACTACTAATTCAAGGTGAGTTACGTACGCATTTTATATTGACATCCGGAAATTTTTCGATGTTTTTGTATTGAATTTAGGTCTCAAATAATGTTGCCTTTGGTTGATTTGTTATTCGAATAAATTTATTCGAGAGAAAATATTTATTTTTGTTTCCAAAATTGCAGACAAGCGTTTAATGTATTTTACAATTGTTCGTTCATTTCATTATTAACGCATATTTTGTTTATTTTAATTTCTCTCATTTGACAATTTGTGACTGTAATTAATTTTTGTTTGTTTATCTTGGGACTTAAATTTGTTGCTTTTTCGGTCATCGTAATACAGCCAGTTATCTTTAACGCTAATAACTTTTTTTCATAATATATATCGCAAATCTCATAATACAATATTAATTTCATTGTTGATTTCTAAAAGTCTATCGAATCTACTATTACTTTGTTTTGCTATGAGTACCGTATATAGTATGCTTAGTACATATGTAACTGAATTACATATCATCTTTCATTATATACAAACATGCATTATGCACGATTATTATATAATTTTAAAACTTCATGAGTATAAAAACATTTAGTGCTGTTCCTTTTGATGAAATACATTTTTATTAAGTACTGTAATGTACATGATCAATTAGAATTTTCAAACTTATTTTACACGCTAATCAATAATAAGAATTATTCATCAATCACAGATGATGATCAACTTGCAAAGTTCTGACGGTCAAATCTTTCACGTTGATTTCGAGACTATCCAGCAATCTACGACCATCAAAACCATGTTGGAAGACTTGGGTTCTATCGACAATACAGATAGTAATCCAATCGTTTTGTCCATTGTTAAAGGCTCCATTTTGGAGAAGGTTCTTGAGTGGTGTGAATATCACAAAAATGATCCACCCTACGACGAGACTGAAGATATTGAAAAGAATGCAACCAATATTATACCATGGGATAAAAGGTTTATGGAAGTAAGTTCGGCTTTATGATTAAATGAGTTTAAATTGGATTTACGTTGATTTTGGATTTTACGCCCTGTTAGATTTAAATTTGTTGCATAAATCTTTCATGCGTTGTTGTTTTGAAATTCAACTTAAAACTATTCACAGTTTGTTTTGCAAACAACTGTTTTGTATGTAGATATTAAAAAATATTATTGAAATATTTTATTTTATATTTAAAAATTTCAATATTAAAAATATTTATTATACAGGTTGAAAACAATATATTATTCAATATCATCCTCGCCGCTAACTACCTCGATATTAAAGGCTTACTCGACGTAGGTTGTAAAACTGTTGCCAATATGATCAAAGGCAAATCGCTTGAAGAGATTCGACAAGCTTTTACAACCAAGGAAAATAAAGGTATTAACGAAAAAGAAGAAAAGAATGACTGTGAAAGACCAAAAAAAACTGAAAATCGAGGTAAAATCAACTCTAAAGAAGATATGGAAGAACACGAACCCAAGAAATTAAAAAAAGATAAATTATAGTAAGTGGAACAAAAAAATAAAGGTTCCTTTAAGGTGAAACAGCATTATGTTTTTGTTAAATTGACTAATGAAATAATCTTTACTTTATGTATAATTAGAAATTCCTAATAATTAAGTATGTGTAATGTACTCAATGTAAATTTTTATTATTTTAAACTCTTGCATTAAAAAAGTTTTCATTTTATGTAAAAAACTTTTGCATTGAAAGTATATTTGACCATGAGTATTCATATTGTTATCTCTAATAAAGCTAGGATTAATTACAATAAATTAATTAAAGTATACTCTATATTGTCAATGTTTTAAATAATATTACTCCATTAGCGAATAAAAATTGTATATCATATTAATTAATTTTGATGGCGATTATAATTACATCAACAACTACTAATTTAAGATACAACTTTACTTTTATTTTGTAACTTTAAAATGAATTTTCTACAGTATCATTATTTGTCATTACTTTATATGATTAAATTTGATTATATTGTTTCTATTCCTATATTAACAACTTGTAATCTCTTTTAATTATTACGTCTTTAATATCAATAAACAATTTGTTATAACTACGACTAGCGTGCAATATTTATACAATTTATACTATATATTTAATTATTAGCAAGAAATTATATTGGCATACTATCTGATGGATTTATGCAGGGAAATACAGAAATTCTGTGCATGTTAATTAATAAAGGATACTTTTATAGAGAGGTAAGTTTAATTAAGTCTTTACTGGGCGATGTCGAGATTGGAAGTGAAGCGAACGAAATCCGTTACTAATCAAACCTATTCAAATCATCTAACTACTGTAACCCAAGCGGGATATTTAAATGATTGATTGACATATAGGGTTACTTGAATTATATTATGTCCCTTTAATCAATGACATAACTCGATGTTCTTATTCACATACAAAATCTCTCCCAAATACAACCTGTATAAAAACTATATTAAGTTATTTATAGAAATCAAAGTCTACTGTAACGGTCTAGTCTGATCTGTTTCTTTTTTCACTTTTCACTATGCAATAGCAACCCGCCACACATTCAAAATCTGAGAAAATACGCTATCAAAACTAAAGCGTTAACTCACCTACACTCCTGAATGTGTTAGCACTTGATCTAAATCAAGACGATATATAGAGAGTGACGTCACAGACATGAGAAAATTATTGTTTACTGTACAAAATCGATAATTACATGCTCTTAAAATAAATAAAATCACTTTTTTAATCAACTTCAATGCGCTAATCTTGAATTTCAACTTATTATGATCATTTATTAGGTACCAGTTAACATAATAAATTAAATTTAATATCGAATGAAATTTAAATAATTATAATTTGCAAGTAAATATGATTAACAGTTTTACAATAGATAAATGTAATACGAATTTAAATATAAAACAGAGATAATAGCACTTTACGAAAGAGAAGCAAGAATTCGACACATTGATAACTGATTTTTTAACAAAGTTATGCTTATTTTGCGTAAATTTGTTCTTTTTTTTTAATAAAGTGCCAATTATTAAAAAAAATGTTTGTGTACTTTTTTTCTCTTTTAATCTACTATTTTGTATTTTAATGTTAAATTTTATTTTGATAAAAAAAAAATCTGTTCCAGTTAATTGAAAATTTATATAATTTAATATAAAATAATATTTAATTTATATATATATATAGTTCAAGTTAATTGAAAATTTATATAAATTAATATAAAATAATATTTAAATTTGTGGCGGGGTCTTTCGGAGGGTTTTAGCCGCAATCTCGAAGCTCTTCCGCCACAAGGCCTGATTGGCTCTTTATCCTTGATTATTTATTAGGGCGCCAGACCGCCGTGTGATTAGGGCGATCGTCGGGGATAGGGCCTATGTATCGCGACGTATTCCTGTTTGCTTACAATGCGACTACGCAGTGTCGACAAATGTACGTGGACCCGCGATTTCCTCTAATTCAGGCCTTTGATGTCCAACAATTTGGTTTCTTTCCGTCCTCTCGTCCGTAAAATGCCAGCAGCTCAGGTTGTGACGCTTTATCTCGGTTCGGAGATTCGTTCGAATTCGCGCGTATGTCACCTATCGTTAGAACCGAAAATGACGAACCAGTGTTTCCCGATTACAACCGTTCGCGGCTGAAAATAATCAGCATGCAAGGAAGAGAGGGTAACAAGGCGCAAAATTATTAAAAACTGATCACTCTTTATTATTTATTACAACCTACATATAGTAAAAGTGGTCTAATTAGCGAAGGGTCAGTATAACTCAACACGACTCTACACGCAATAGTACGGATGCGAATTAATTGAGACTAAAATTCTCTTCGTTTGATCTTCAACTGAAAGAAAATGGTTTCGTCAGTTTACCCATTTGCTTTATCATGCCCTCACATTCTTTATTTAATAAGAATAACAGAATCTTTTTTAATCTAAAGAACATATATACTCTTATCATTATAAAATTTATGTATAACTCATACCATTATATCAATAAATTAATAAAATTTAAATATAATTTAATACAATGGTATAATAATGCAATATAATAGTATAATGGTATTAATTATATATAAATTTTATAATAATAACATATCAGTTTACATTTAAATGATTCTGTTCTTTATATCATAAAAACAGAATAAGAGAGAGAGAGAGAGAGTAAAAGAGAATGAAAATATGTACTTACAATATTGATGGTGAAGGTGTCAGCAGCATCCGAATAGTTGCAGCTTCGTGGATGTCGTTTCTCCTCAGTGTTGGTGTTCTCGGCTGTTCGACGACTTCGTCTACCGCTGCTTCCATCGGTGACACCAACACTCCGAAGACTTCATCTTCGAAGAGATCACAGTCATCGTCTAATGCTGCCATAACTCCGTCCAGCACGTTTTGCCACGGTACATCGTCCGACGAAAACAATTGTTCTAACAATTCCTCACTCACTGCACTATCGTCTTCACGCTGCATTTTTCTTCACCAAACTTTACTTCACGGCAAAAAAAATCATAATGACGTATCGTTGCGAGACGATCGAATTTTTATTCATTTCCGAAAACACTAGCCGCGTATCGGTCATTGGTCGAAGAATTGGGAGTGGGAGTGGGAGACAACGCGACAGCACTGATTTTGTCGCGTATATAATACGATAATAATTAATGGTGAGAGTAGCTAAAACAATAGTGATTAGTACGGAGAAGAGACGCGAATGTGTATTAATACAGGCTCGCGATAGCGCGTGCGCTTTTCTTCATGTAACGGACGAATCGTAGGTGGTAGCAAGCCGTTGGTAGTGACAAGTTCCAGCGAACGATCGGCCCATGTCAGGGCCACCTTTTTCAAATTGGCGAAATTATACAATCCCGACAGTTGACTGATATCATCGATTAATATAAATCTAAAACTGCATTTTCAGTGCTAAATTTCAATTATAGACAAACTATTTGTTCAATAAAGCAAAACTTATATAAATTTTATAAATCAGCACTTTCAAGTGCTATTCAAACATACGTTAACGTACGGTATCGCCAAATTATGTTATTGAATTTGTTACTATTGTGCGCTCGTATAGCCTCGATTAAATTATTTTTCTTCCTATGAATACTAGATATTTCCAAGATTTCTTTGTAGCTCTTGAGATCATTTAAACTGATTAAACTTTGATTAGGTTGCTTTGCTACCAGTAACTCCATTAAACCCTGTGTTTTTGGATACTTGAAATCATCGACGTCTACGTTATTTTTGTTAAAAATCACCGGGATTTACCAAGCGTGTATGATCCATTTCGTTCTTTACGTACTCCAGAAATCAAGTCCACAAAATTCGAATCACTTTTATCCAATGTATTCGTGTACTTGTCGCCAGCTTAATACTCATCCTCGCTCGACTCGGATAAACTGTTATAAATCTGTGTAGTATTGTGCGTGACCGTAGCATCGCTATCTTCGCCACTAGACTGAACGGTGTTGTACTTATCGACGTTATCAGCAAAATAATTGATTTCATATTTTGATTTTTTTTGTTTAGAAATTTCGGCTTTTTAACTGTGACAAGAGCTTCGGGAAGATTTTCCTTCTCACTTATAAAATTTTTGAGTGGATCCACTTCTTGAGGCACAATCTTCGTCTTGAGGCTGTTTCTTCACTTATTTTGATTTATTTGGATTATGTGACTGACGAGGAGGAGTTGTTGTGTGGGTCCTTGAAGTAGTATGTCCGTTGCCTCTAGTTTAGTATCTCTGTATTGTGGAGATCTGTATTAGTTGGTCAACTTCACTAAATGAAATTAATAAGAAATTTTTTCTAATTCTGTTAATAAAATATAATTTTATTTTCAATGAAAGTTCATAAAAAATGATTCCTCTCAGAAAATTTCAAATACTTTTCAAAGCCTTTTCTTAAGCAACTTAATTTTCTTTATTTTTCTCTAATTTATTTATTCATTTACCCACTCAAATTTCAATAATTTTCTAAATTAATATATTCTTTGTTGCAAAATAAATCCCATTAATTTTCCAATAACACAAAGAAATTTCTAGCTTCAATTCAAATAAACTCCAATTAATTTTCACTTTCAATTTAAGCTATCTTCTTGCTTAAAACAAAACTTATTTTTATTTTCTTAATTAAATCAGTGATTTTCTTCCTAATAAATTTGTATTCTTAAAAGAAAAATTTTATTTCTTTACTTTTTAATTTATTCTTCACAGATTTCAAATTCAACAAAACTTTAACTATATCAACTTTTTACTTTTTTTTTTACTCTGATTAATCACTGATATAATTTAAAGAAAGGAAAATCCTAACAATTTTTTTCTTAACATGTAAGAAAGAATATTTCTAAATTTTCGAATGTAATTCCACCGGGGCCTCCAAAATTTATAGGTGACGTCGGGGTCACTCTCAGGTGCACCTGAGGCTTGGCGCAGTCTCAGGGTTCTGTTGTTGCTAGTCTGCGATTTCTCGCATAAACTAGCGGGATCACTATTCGAAAATTATTAACACCGAAGGGGACAGTGCCACTAAACCTGTGCTTCTGCTCTTGGATCAATAGTTGAATCAATAGTTGTAATCCGAGAGCGGGAAGTACCCCGGGTCCTATCAATAGTAGAACCCGGTTTTCCTAATATAAATTGTATTTGGAGCCTATCAAAAGTAGTCTCCAAATACGACAAAGGTAAAATTTTTTATTTGCGTTCGGTCTACTTGGACTTTACATTGAATCACTTGTGCAGTTTCATAGTTATTTAACTGTAATAATTGAATGTATTTTCTTGTTACGTTTATTATTGTTGAAGGCATTTCACATTCTTCCACATTTAATAAAGATATAGTGGTTATATTAAGTGATCTTGCTCCGCAGTCGTATCCTATGATGGCTGTAACTGGATTAGTTATTGTTAAGAATATCAGTGATAACAGAGAAGAATGCATC